CTGAATATCAAACATCTTAGGCATAACATGGAACAGGTATTTTTCAAGTATTGATATGTTGAACTTTAAGTCCCTACAGAATATGATAAAAAACATTTAAAAATTACAATGTATTTTAAAAATAGGCATAAAGAGTTATATACTTACGTTTACACATAAGTCCAAAAATCTCACCATATACAACCTTGAAGCAGGACAGTCCATGCCCAGTCTTGAGGCAGAGTGTTGTGTCTATAGTTCTGGCTACCCTCGAATTTGTGGTAATCCTCCTGCCTCGGCCTCTCAAGTGCTGGGATTACTGGTGTGCACCACCACATCTGGCTGTGTGCTTTTCTGGTTGAGACAGGGCCTGACCACCTTGTGTGCAACTATATCTAGTGGCCATCCTTGTGCCTCGGCCTCCTCGGTGGTGATGTCCGAGGTGCGTGCCATCACGCTGGGTCTGGTTGTGTGTCCTCACAGAAGTTTGGCCTGGGGTTTCCTGTCTACTGTTACGGCCTTGGGGATTGAAGTCAGGGCTCTGTGCATGCTAAGCAGTATGGCTGTGCCGTACTGAGGCACAGCTCAGGAGAGGGTTTTCGATTTGCTTTTTTCCTTGAGATGGGTTTTGCTCTGTCGCCCAGGCTGTCCTCAGACTGAGACCCTCCTGCCCCAGGCTTGCAGACAGGCCTGTGGGGTCGCCCTGACTTTCTTCTGCTTGTTACCTTTGGCCCGCACGCGTGCAGTCTGCTGAGCCTTCTCTGGGAGCCGTGTGGGTGCGTCAGGGCAGGATGTTCCTGGTGTCACTCCTGCCTGCTCTGCTAGGTGCCAGGCTGGTGACTGAAGGTTTGTGAGCGCTAGAGACAGCATTTGAAGAACGCCTGTGCCCTTGACTTGAAAGCAGGAGTGCAGATGGTCTTGCCATTGGGCAGGGAACCTGTCCTTCAGTAATTGGTCGCTTTGGCCATTTCCACAGGAGCAGTTTCTCCAGGAAAGAATCAAGGTGAACGGCAAAGCCGGGAATCTCGGTGGAGGGGTGGTCACCATCGAAAGGAGCAAGAGCAAGATCACCGTGACTTCCGAGGTGCCTTTTTCCAAAAGGTACACACATGGCATCCCCACCCTTGGCTTGATACCGGGAGGGCTGTGTGTTGTGGCCACATCTGTGCCCCGCTGGGACTGTTATCTCATGCAAGGGCCGGTGGATGAGTGTTAGCACGCTGCTCTTCAGATGAGCTCGGGGCAGCTGTGCTGAGTCACACCCCTCTCATTTTTTTTTTTTTTTTTTATTTTTGATGTTTTGGGACAGGGTCTCACTTTGTAGTCCAGGCTGGCCTTGACCGCAGCTATGGAGCCTGGGCTGTGTGTATTGAAATACCTGCTGTGGCAGAGAAGAGACCTGTGACTTTGTTTGAGACGGGGCTGGCTCTGTTCAAAATGGCCTCAGATTTGCAGCAGTCCTCCTGCCTCAACCTCCGAGTCCTGGGATTACAGGCGTATGCCACTGTGCCCAGATTTCCTTGGGTGTTTTAGAGATAGGGTCTTCCCCGCATAGTCTCGGCTGCCCTTGCATCTGCAGTGATCTCCCTGCCCTAGCCTTCCCAGAACCAGGACTACAGGCTTACACCACTGTACTTGGCTTATTTTGTGTGTGTGTTTTTTGGTGTTTATATATATTAGGAGTCACACTCAGGACTTGCGCTTGCCGGGCAGGCTCTATGCCGCTGAGCTATATCCCCGGCCCCTTATTTTGTGTTTTGGGACAGGTTCTTGCTGACTTCCTCAGATGGGACTTGCACTTGGGATCTTCCTGCTTCGGCCTCCCAGAATGCTGGGGTATCAGGCGTGTACCATCATTCCTGGTAGAGCTCTTAGCGCTTGCCTTCTCTGTAAGAGTTTTTTTTTTTAAATTTTGTTTTGTTTTTGTTTTGAGACAGGGTCTTGCTGTGTAGCCCAGGCTGGCCTCGAACTCCTGGCAGTCCACCTGGCTCAGCCCTCAGCCTCCCAAGTGCTGGGCCTCCAGGTGTGCGCCACCATGCCCAGACTGCGTAGGGGACGCTACGGTTCTGGGCAAGGAATCAGAAGTTGCAGGGTAGCCCGAAGCCTCTCCAGCCCGGCGCGGTGACTCCATTCTTCTCCAGAGGCATTAATTCTTCTTTCCGGCCTCGCCCCATAAGGGGGAGTTTGAAAGGCTTACAAGTCCAGCCAGGCCTGGTGGTACACCCGTTAGCCCAGCCTGTTGGGAGGTCAAGGCAGGACAGTGACAAGTTTGATCCTAGCCTGGACAGTGTAGTGGCTTTGCAAGATCCTGACTCCAAATAAAACATAGAGGGGGCAGGTGCTGCAGTGCTGTGTGGGGAGGTGGATGGGTGTCTTCACTCATCACTTGACGGGTGGGCCTGGGTTTCCTGGACAGAATCAGACAGGGTGGTTTTGATTTTCCCTGGGACTGGCCAAGTGTGAGGTGTGCTGGCATTAAAGGTGAGGGCCCCCCGTGGAGCCTCTGGCCACCTGAGTTCCTCCATTTGCTAGGAAGGGGGTTTGACAGAGGACACTTGAAGCTGGGCTGCCCAGGGCACAGTGGCCAGCCTGTGGCTCGAGCCAGCAGAGCCGTGAGGAGGACTTCTGGGGCTCAGTAGGATGCTGCGATGGTGCGGCCCGCCCAGCTGCTCCCTTCACTGTTCACAGGTGCTCTGCTCCACACCCAGGAAGGAACTGTGGTCTTCTCCCACGACTTCCCCTCTTTCTGTGGCACTGCTGGGGATTGGACCCGAGTCCTTGGTACTGAGCAGAACTTTGCCTCCTTTCATGAAAGGGTCTTGCAAGCTGTCCACATTGGGCTCAAACTTAGGATCCTCCTGCCTCAGCCCCCAAGAATGCTGGGGTCACAAGTGTGCACCACCGTGCCTGGCTTTGGCCCTTTTTTTTTTTTTTTTTTTTGTGGAATTGGGGATTGAACTTAGGCCCTTGAGCTTGCCAGGGAAGTGCTTATTCTACTGAGCCATCGCCCCAGCCTCTGGCTCTTCTTTTGATGGTAGTTTTATTTTCCTGAAACATGCAGGAGCGTTTCCTAATCTGCAGTGTTGCCTTGTCTCTGAGCTGCTGAGTTTCCTAGCATTCTGAGAACTGTCAGATCGCCTGAGGTTTGGGGTGATGCCCCTCTGTGGGACATAGTGCGACACAGGTGACCACAGAGTGCGTGATAAGTGCGCAAGAGTGTGACTGACCAGGCAGGGCATGGTGGGTCTTCCCAAGCAGAGCCCCTAGTCCTGGGGGTCGCACTGGCCGGGTGTGGGGTCCCTGCTCTTAGGCCAGCATCTGTGGGCAGCTCCCCAGCTTCCCCAGCCGCTGGGGAGACGGCGAGCACGTGGAGCCCCTGTTGCCCTGGGAAGGCTGAGGCCTGGTGAGGCCCGCCTGCCTGGTGGCAGGTTTGTGAGGTGTGGCCGCTCCCAGGTCCAGGAGCGCGCAGCTCGGGCTCCCGTGAGCCTGCTGTGGCTGGGACCTATGGCACAGCCACCTGTGGCCCTCAGGAGCAGCACCCCAACCCAGGCAGCAGTTAGGAAGCTCTGGCCACAGTCGGGGTCCTCTGCACGTGGAGTGCTTGTCTGGAATGCACTGAGCCCGCAGTTCCACCTCTCCACCGAAGAAAACGGATCCAAAACCTTCTACATCTTGTAGTTTCCTGCCCCTCCAGTTTAAGCTTCTCACTAGGCTGAGGCAGAGAATTGCTTGAGGCCAGAATGAGGCAGCCTGGGCCTTGTAATCAGGTCTACCCGAGGTAAAACCCACCCAAAATCCAGAGCACTGCTCGAGGGAAGGCATTGCGGGGGACACTGCCTTGCGTTTTGGATGGTGACCATCACGTTGAAGTGTGAGCATGTGTATGACAGTGCTGAGAACCCACTCCACCACTGTGCCCCACTGGCTGGTCGGGCGGTGGCACGGGGCCGCTCAGCGCTGTCCCTCACCACCAGGCTCTCTGGGCCTGCGCAGGTCTGCGTGACAGGCAGCTGACAGGCAGCTGGGAGGTCTTCTCTCTGCTCACCTTTGTAGCCAGTTGAGGTGCTGGGTGGCCAAGGTTTGTTTTTATAGCACTGCTTGGGTGTGGGAAGTCTGGTTTTTTTGTTGTTTTGTTTTGTTGGTGGAACCGGGGATTGAACTCGGGCCCTTATTCTACTGGGATATCTCCCCAGCCCGTGGAATCTGTTTTTGCCAGGGTGGGGTAACTCCTTGAATTGTCACAGTTTCATAGAAGTTGCAGTGTTGAGTTGAGGCAGGAGGATCCCCTAGAGTAGTGATGGCGAACCTGAGAGCTGCTGGTGGTATGGACAGCCAGCTGCGGATTGGGCCACCAGCGTGCTGCCCCTGGCCTAGAGCCGGAGGCCGGCTGGGCTGCTACAGAGTGAGTGCGGGGCCTGTCTACAAAAAGGGACAAGAAGTTGAAACGTTGAGCGTGTAGGATCACCTGTTTAGGGTAGTTCTCAAGTGTCCTTTCTCTGCAGGTATTTGAAATATCTCACCAAAAAATATTTGAAGAAGAATAATCTGCGTGACTGGTTGCGCGTAGTTGCTAGCAGCAAAGAGAGTTATGAATT